ACACACACACACACACACACACACACACACACACACACACACACACACACGAGTAACATCAATATCAGCTTAACCACACAGCCCATCATACTGAGTTATCTGCCCTGGTGCAGCCCCTTCAGCAGGGAAAGTGTTTATGTTTTCCATGACCAAGCTTATGAGTTGGCGAAGAAACCACCAGGATGACAAGCACCCTGGAGCTCCTCTGAAATTAGTATGACAAATACCTCGCTCTGCTGGTGAGAAAACTGGTAACAAAAAAAGAGGTATGCTGGGCCCAGATACAACCCAGTGACTAGAACACATGCTTAGCACATGCAAGGTCCTGGGTTCAATCTCTAAAAACAAAAAAGGGTGATTTAACAGGCTAAGAGGGACTCATCAGGACCCAGACCTAGACACTTAAGAGACAAGATGGTCGAGCATCTTGTAACAAGTCAGTTTGCATTTTTTCTTTCTTCCTTTTTGGGTTTTCAAAACAGGGTTTCTTTGTGTAGCTTCAGCTGTCTTGGAACTCACTCTGTAGACCAAGCTGACTTTGAACTCACAGAGATCCACCTGGCTCTGTCTCCCAAGTGCCAGTATTTAAAGGCATGTGCCACCACTGCCCAACTTCATTTTTTTTTTATGAATGATGAGTAACAAGTTCTTAATCATTTAGAGTTCCAGAAGAAAAAATTTAAAAAACAAAAACACTTCCAAGTAAGTAACTGTATAAATAATCAATATTGAGCAAATCTACGGTTCATTGAACACAACATCTTGACGTTTCAATTTCGCCTCTCCTTGACAAATTTTAGGTTCCAAAGCCATTTTCTGGTCTTCCTGAATGGAAGGTATAAAATCTGCATGACACCTATAAACATTCTCCAGACTCTTATGACATACACAAGAAAACCTTTTGAAAATAATTCTAAGTTCTTTGAAAAGAACTCCTTCCAAATGACCTTCTTTAGAACATTCTGTATCTAAGATACACACATCCCTCCTCCCTGCCCAGGCAGCATATGCACAGAGGTACAGTATCTAAAGGGCACACATATAGAGATGATATATGCAGAAAATTACTGTGAATACTAGTTTCACTTTCACTCCACCGTTGATTAAAATACCCTAGCTATCTACATCTCTGTGGTGAGTATTCTGGAATGACACATTCTCAATTCTAACCAATTTTATCAGAACAAACTGCACTCACTATGCATGTAGGTAAAAATCAAGCCAGAAACTGGACATTTAATAAAATAACTTTTGAGCCTATAAATGATGTAATTAATGTCACCACAGGCCTTGGCATTTCCATTCCTGAGCACAAACAATACACAAGCAGAAACAAACACTGTCCATCATTTATTTTCCTGTCTGGGTTGGCCTCCATCACTACACTAAGACACAGAGGCTTCAGTTGAGCCCAAAAGCAAAGGCACACAGCACATCTTGACCTGGGAATTGTGCTTCCTAGGATACTTGGAGACACTCTCACTTGGTAAAACTGGTGGTTGGAGCCAGGTACAATGGAAGACATACATTCCTGTAGCTCCAGCTAACTCAGGGATGAAACAGGAGGATGGCTTGAGTGGAGGAATCTGAGGCAACATTGGAAGACCTTATTTTAAAACAATAGCAAACACTCAGAACGGAGAGACAACGATATCTCGACTGTAATGAAAGTGTCACTGTAGCCAAGGGGCAAAGACCAGGAATGATATTCGGCATACTACAGTGCACAGGGCAGCCCCCCACAATGAAGAATTCTCTGGGTCAAAGGTCATTCACGCTGCTGTTAAGCAACTGATAGTCACAAATATGACTATTTAAAGTAAACACACCAAGTGCTAAGTGTAGGGTCTCAGTTAAAGTTACAACTGATTTCAGCTTTGAGATTTTTGTTGGTGTTTTTTGTTTTGGTTTTTGTTTCCTCTCTTTTCAAAATAGATGTATTATTTAGAATCAAGGGTTAAAAATGTATTTGGAAATTTACTTGTAGGAGAAAGAAAGACTACTTGCTAGTGGGGCTTATTCTCAAAGGGTGGGTCTCCTGAAGCCTGCTGGCCTTCCGGAAAGACCTGGGAAAGTGTCTCCTAAAAAATCACCTCTGCCTGTAAGCTGTTATTCATTGGCCCTAGTCAAAATGAATATTCCAAATATCTCAAAGCCAGCACTGTTGCCGCTTCAGTGAGAGGGAGAACGGTAAACCTGGAGACTGCAGAGAAGTTCAACACCCTGATTTTAATGCTGCCACCAGCATGGGAAGTAATAAACACTTTTAAACAGACAAGCTAATGTTCTCTTATCACTCCAAACACACACCCCCAAATGCATTTTGAGTCTCTACTACACTGCTGGTGAAAAACAGTCATCAAAGTTATGTTTTCAAAATTATGTTTAAGTGGGTACCTTTTGCAACTCAATGAGAATTTCTTGCATAACTGAAACATGCAATTCAAGACAAAAGCTTTGCAGTACCACATCCGTTGCAGCCTGAAGCCCTCTATGCTACAGATTCCCAATAAAACGTTAGCAATTATTTTTCCACATGTAATCATTATATCATCGTAGAGGGGGTGAAAAAACCTGAAATTCAGGTTCTTAAGTGGGTGTGTTCTAACAGGAATTAAAGACACTTGGAGAAATTCCAAGATTATACTCCTTTAAAGTCACTTCTTCATCCCAAAGCCACTTAGGCTAATGGCAAGTACCACTCACTAACATTTATGAAATCAATATTCCCATTGTGTTCCACCCTCCAGCCACTTGCCATCCACACCACACCCGACTGCTTAGAGACAGCAGTGTAGACCCAGAAGCAAGTCCTCCGCCCACCCTGGACCACTAACAAGCCAAGGAAGCTGCCACTAGCCAGGACAAGGCTATGAGACACACAACCCTGCTGAGGTGGCCTGGACACCCACCTTCTGAACTTGGGGAGGCCCTGACTCACACCCTGTCACATGGCGCGGGAGGAGGCTGAAGAGCCACCGTTGCCAGGTGTTCAGGCTCGGCAAGACGGTTTATTTGCCTTGCAAAGTGACCCGAGCGCTCCTGTGCCACGGCGGGAAGGCCGGCAACCTCCAGGCCTCTCCTCCCTCACACGCCCACACCCGCCCTGTCACCGGTCCTCCTCACCTGAGTGGGCAACAGGAGTTCCCCTTCTTCTGCCTGCCACAGCTCCACCACGTTCGGCAAGGGTTCAAATGCTGCACGGACACCAAAAAACACACCGCGTTTGTAATGCACGGAAAAGAAACGCTTCCTGTTTCCTCGCTCGTCCCCTCGTGCCACCCGCCTGCCCCAAACAAGTCTCCCTCTCCCCTCGCAGGGCAGGCCACCCGAGGGGACGAGGATGCAAATACAATGCCCAGACAGCGATCCCGGGGTCCAGAAGGTAAGGACGTGCGGGCTTGGTCAAGACGAGGGGACGAGGCCGCCGCACCAGGCACGGCGACCCCCGAGCCACCGGGCTGGGGGAAACAAAGCTGCAGGAAGCCGGGCGCGGCGAGGCACCCGCGCGCCACACAAAGCGGGGGATGCGCCTGGGGCGCAGGGGCCCGCGCACAAAGGCTCCGGGGCGCGCGCGGCTAGCGGTCCCTGAGCCCCGCGCTGCCCGCTCCTGGTCCGGCCTAGAGCCGCTGAGAGGACGCTGCGGTCGCAGGGCTGCAGCAGCCCGTCTTCCCCAGCCGCCCGAGTCCCCTTCCTCCGCGAACCCTCACAGATTTCAACAGTTCCCTAAAAGAAAGGGGGGGCGGGGCGGCGGGGACAGCCAGCCCCGACGACGGGCTGACCTTGTCCCTGAGCCCCTCCCGGACGGCAGCAGGAAAGCAGGACCTGGAAGACGCCCAGCAGAAGGTTCACGGCAGCGGCCGTGCGGCGGTAGGCGCCGGACTGCGGGCGCCGGAGCCCCGCCATGCTGGTGCTCGCCGCGCTCGCTCGCAGCGATCTCGTTCTCTCGCTTGCTGGCGCCGCGGCCGCCTAGCCGCGCCCCGGGCCCGCCCCCGCGCCCTGGCCCCGCCCCGCCTCCGGCCCCGCCCCCGCTGTTGGGCCCGCCCCCGCAGCTGTTGGACTGCTGCTCAGCGCCGGCGCGCCGCTTGCTCCCGAGCGCGTGTGCTCCGCAGATAGAAGGGGATGGAACGCGGCGGGGAGCGGAGGGACGAGGACAATGCGAACGCTCACAGCGCGCAGCACGTGCCGGAGGGCCCCCAGAAGCTTGACTCTGGGGGCTGGGACTCGCGGCCCACGGGGAGAGGGTGTTCTGGTGAATTTTCATAAGGTTCTCTTTGTTGATGACACCGGGGGCCACGGTGGGGGCAGTAACTCCGGGGGAGGGGTCCTGGGAATGAATCGTAACCCAGTGCCTGGCCTTGAACAGGATATTAGTGGAAATATTGCTGTGGTTGTCAGGAAACGCGAGTGCAGCCACACAGCTACTGCCAGTTATGCAGCGAGGATATCCGGTGGCTGCGAGGTCTGTAATTTAAAATAAAAAGCTCTCCCAACACCCGAGAGGCTGACCTCAGCGCCGCGTGGCGGTATTGCGCTCAGCGCCCTCTGTGGAGACTGTCCAAGCCATGACAGGTGGGAGAGCTTAGGTTAGACCTTAAAGAACCCTCCAGATGTACCTGCAGAATCAAACTGCAAAAGGGAGCCAGCCACTTACTAAAAGTAGTTGAAGTGGAGGGCACGATCGCCTGCCGGTTTCCAACATTAATAAGTAGTGTAAGTCATACTTGGAAATGTATTTTCTGCCTCTGTTTTTAAAGTTGATTTGCTGTGTGCAGCAAAGGTAGCTCGTATGAAACTTGGAGTGTGTGAGCTGCAGGAAGTGCTGGTGTACACGTCTGCTTACACTGATCTTCTATTTAATTGCTTCTGGAGCCTTCCAGTCTAGACTATGGAAAAACGTGGTCACACAGCAGGTCAGATGCTGGATAAGGACAATGTGAACGATGGATGCTCTCTCCATAATACCAGACTGTGAGCCCAATCTCGTTGTCTGGATGTAACTCTAAATGAGATCAAACCACCTGATTTCTTTGCCATACTTAACACTCGATAAAAGCAAATGTCCACGTGAAAATGTCACTTTGCTTTGCCCGACTTAAGCAGCTCCGTTTATTTCTTTTCTTTTCTAGATTGCCTGGGTCTCTAGAATACTAAGGAAACAAGCAAATATTGACAGGTTAAAGTTAAAAGTCATGATGCAAAACTCCACCAATTTTTAAATTGTTTTACCTTTTTACTAATAAAGTGCCATACTAAAAAAGTACCACACTATCAATGAGAATTACTTAAAAGACTGAGAAATATTACCATAGGCCATATTTTGAGTCTGTTCTCATTTATTCTCCTACCAAAAGGTTTTCCAGGGCAGCCTGCTACTTTCACTTTGAGCTCTTTACAAAGGGGGTGATTGACCGTTGTTCACCAAGCAGAAGCATGTATCTGCAGTACCATGAGGCTGGAGAAGGATCCAGGATCACACAGCTGCCTTCTTAGATAAATCTGACCCACTCAGCCTTCCCTGGAGGTATGTTTCATGCTGATTCATGAGCAACAGGAAGGTATGGCCCATTAAGCAGCTTCCATATTTTGAAGTAAAATTGTTCTCCAAAGATAACACCTATGTATTTGTGCTATGTTTCTGCTCTCCCCCTGTCAATGATAGAGCCACAGACTGTTATTGCTGAGAAACTGAGGAAAATCTTTATTCTTTTTATTTAACTTTATTGTTATTGTTGTTGTTGTTGTTAAATATATGTCATAAGCTAAACACAAAAAGCAAAACACAGTAACAAAAAAACTCCCCCTCAACTCTGCCTAGTGGCCCAAGTGGTTTCTAGAAATGCTGAGGCAGGAGAACAGAGAGCTCTCAAGACCACCCTGCGGGCAACAGAGTTCATACAAAGACCACCTAGGCAACTTTATGAGACTTTGCCTCAAAATTAAAAAGGAAAAGAAGGCTGGGGATGTAACTCAGTACTGCAGTCCTTGCCCCATTCACAAGACCCTGGCTTTAACCCTCAGCACCACAAAACCGCAATGACAACACCGATTCCTATTTCAAAATATCCATGATGTTAACAGTGTTTTTAACTTTTTTTTAGAGTACGGATGAAAAGCGAGTCTATATACAAATGATATCTCGATACAGCCTACCTAAATTTGATTCAAGTGGTAAACCCAACAACCCTAATCTAGAGAAGAGTACCCATGCTAAGTCACAGGAAGTACTGTGGAGACGAGACATGCTAAACATCTGGCACTAGGTGCTCACTAAGTGCTAGAAATCATACAACAGTTTATTCCCATTGTGGAGGTGTGTCACACCTATAAAGTGGTAAATTTGATGCTAATGCTTCAAATCCACGAGTTTCCTATTTATTAACGCATCACTTATCATTCAAACATTGGAATAATTCCTATATATGTAGCAGCCTTCTGTTGGTCCATCCATCAGTTTTAGGCCTCACCCAAGTGAAACAAGACCAAGAGTTTCACTAAGCCACTGGGAGCTAAGCTTTAGCTCTGACTAGAAGGAAATTCCCACAAGCAGGGTAGAAACCTATGTTCCTGAGATTCAACCTGCTGCCTTGACTCAAAGGCACTCTTTTTGCCACAGTACTTGTTAGAATTATTTTTACATTTACTTGTTGTGTATATCGGTGTGAGTGTGTGTGTGGAAGTTAAAGGATAACCCATGAAGTCATTCTTTCCACCTTGTGGATCCCAGGACTTGAACTGTGGGCCTTCGTGGTTAGAGGTAATAGCTATAACTTTACCCCATCTTACCTCCTGAAGCCTCCAGTGTGCACGATTATTAAGAATTTTCTTGCCTGAAAGAAGGCCCTCACTACATGCACAAACTAGGTAGGTTAGATTTCCCAGGTTCTGAATTGTTAGGAATACATTTCTTTCCTTATAAATTATCTAGTCTGTAGTATTCTTTGATAGCAGTGTAAAGCTAAGACATTAGGCATTTTCTTGGCCTCCTCTTCCTCCCATGCCCAACCTTTAAAGCAAGAGTCTCAGGATGTTATCCTCTATACCCTTCATTCCTTCTCTGAATGGACTCGTGTGGTCCTGCATTACCATTGTCTTTAAGGATATGAGTCTCAAATTTTTAGCACGTTTGAAAGCTCCACTCGTAATCCAACTGCCTGCTTGTCACTGTAATAGCTCACTGTATTAGAAGCATCTCAAACATGACGTGTCTCTAATTCTTAATTCCATCTATCCAGACTTACTACTTTGAGTCTTAAGTTCAAGTTATTGGACACCATCTACCTAGCTCCTCGAGCCAAAAGCCAGGAGTCATATTTAATTCTTCTTTCCTTTATACCCTTTAAACTTATCCAAAAATCATAATGTATCCACTTCCAGAATGTTTCCATGGCTTGCCTTTCCACCATCCCTGTTACCACCTTGCCTGCCCCCAGTCTCTCACACGGTGCCTGTGTGTCCTTGTACTGGCCCCTCTGTCCCCCAGTCTCTCACACAGGTGCCTGTTCGTCCTTGTACTGGCCCCTCTGCTCCCGTGCCCCTTACATCACAATTGTACCAGATCCAGAATGGCCATTTAAAAACAGAGCCCCAGTTGTGCATGAAGTTCTCCAGTAGTTTTCTGCAGCAGAAACAGAATTTATATTAGAGTAAAACTGTCCTGTAAGAACTATAAGAGATCTATCCATGCCCACCTTCTGACTGCTTAGCCTGGCCTTTCCAATAACCAGTACTCTTCAGCTCAATGGTCTTCACATTCTTCAAGTCCACCAGTACTAAACCCGTCTTTGAGCCTTTGAACTTTCTTCTTTTAAATTACTTTTATTATATTTTTTTTTTATCTTTATGCTTTACTATCCTGCAACTGGCCATTTGGACAAGCCTGTCCTCAAACTCACAGAGATCCAGGAGCCAGTTCTCCCTGCATCACGTGGAAAGCCAGGAACAATCACAGGTTGTTGGGCTTGGAAGCAAGTGCCTTTACCTGAAAAGCCATCTCAACAGCCCTCACTCTGTTTTCTCTGCTGAAATCCCTATGCCCTGATCGTCACATGGGACTCTCGCAATCCATCACCTATGTAGTGCTGTTGTGTTGGCGTCTACATGGAGTGTCCAAGGCAGAGGGGTTGGAGTTAACCATGCTAAGCCCTAGCCCTAGTTCAAGGACACCTAAAGCAAAGAGAGCATCTCATTCCACAGACTCACTGACTAAAGGCTAAACCACATGGCCGGGAACTATCTCCTGAAAGAGAAGTTCCTCTTTCTACTGTGTCATTGGAAACTCATGGTACCTACATGACTTCATAAGAACCTGACGGAACTAGTGAGACCCTTACTTTATTTGGAAACTAAGGCTAGCAGATGAAACAACTAACCCTTGTTGAAACTCTACCTCATCTCACCATTCTGTCTCTTGACAAGAATATAAATTAGAAACCTTTTTTATAACAGGTTTTAATTCTACTTGATATAGGATATTTGTAGTAAATTTTTAAAAACCCTATGAAGACCCAGCTATAGCTGTAAAGCTTATGGAATGAGCTGCAGTTAACTATAAAAATTGCCTACCCACATGCCATCACAGTGATAATCTGTGATAGATTTAAGTCGCCATACATCTAAGCATACAGACTTTGCCCTTCTATAGACCTTTGTGCATGCTGGCTCATGGCCTATCGAGACAGTTATCCATATAAACCTCTAAGGTAGAAAATACATTGACGTAATGAGTTTCACTTTGTGATTGAAATTGTCTGCTTGGGGAATCAAAATATATAGATCCCCACACTGCATCTTTGCTTGTTTTTCTCCCTCATTGTTGGAAACAATAAACTGTCCAAGAGCGGCAAGAAAATTGAGGTAATGTCTTGGTAACATGGTCTTGGGGAAACCGTTACTTAAGATCTTACATAAACAACAATGTAATACCTAGCCCTACCTTGGAAAGCAGAAGCTACTTACTTTTTCAGCTCTGTCACCATTTACATCTTAAAGCAATTATTCTCAATCTTCCTAATGCTACAACCCTTTAATACAGTTCCTCATGCCGGTGACCCCCCAACCCATAAAGTTATTTCATTGCTACTTTGCACTGTAATTTTTGCTGCAGTTATAAATTGTAAATACCTGATATGCAGGATATCTGATATGTGACCCCTCCCCCAAAGGAGTCACAACCCACAGGCTGAGAATCACTGTCTTAAAGTATGGCAGCTCAGCTGCTGCTTTGAGAAATGATGTCAGAAATGCTCATGTAGCATTCATGATGTACAAAGCCCTGCCCTAAACACTCTGCCTGTAAGTCATTCCATCCCTCCGATAACCCCATAGAATGCAGGCACTACTGTCCCTCCTGTTTTACACATGGGGAAATAGAGACACAGTTTCTTAGTCCATTAAGGCTTCTCTATCAAAATACTCTAGACTGGGTGGCTTGAAAATGACACAAACTCGTTCCCCACAATTTTAAAAGGAGGAACCTACGGTTAATATAGATCCAGTGTCTGGTGAAGGCCCACCTCCTAATTCTATCTATTCGATATGTCTTCTCATCACAGAGTGGCAAGAAGTTCTCTGAGATCTTTTGACAAGGCACCCATCCCATTCATGAGGGTTCCACCTTTGTGCTAGTGACTTTTCTTACCCCTGTGACAGGATGACAGGGTGACAGAAACCACCTGAGGCTAGGCTCCACCTCCTAAAAGTTCTGTCACCTCCCAAAACTACAGCACTAGCTGGGACCAACACAGGAGCCTGTGGGGGCATTTCATCTTCAAATCCTAACAACCCTCATGACCTGACCACTTGTCAAAGGTGCCACCTCCTAATACTACCACAAGTGAACTGGAGGCGACACTAACATTTGGCTCATAGAACATTGCTCCATCATGAGTCAGTGAAAGCAAAACTCGAATTAAAAACAAGTACTTAATCTATACTTTGGGGCATTGGGACAATACTTCTTAACATCCTCAAGTGAACGGGTAGATGAACTCATGCTGACCACTGCTGTAACAGTGATCATTTGAATATATGTGACGAGATGGAGCCAGGTGTGAAGCTTAGTGGTTGAGCACTTGCCTTGACATTATCAAGGCTCTGGGTTCAAACCTAAGAACAACATCAACAACAAAAAGCATGTAATTGGAAATACTGGGCAAAAGTCACAATGGGACCAGAAATGTGGAACACTTTCTAAGAAAATGTCAAAACCACAGAGACCCTTTCTGGGTTCCATGATTCCAGAAGCAGCATTATACTGAGCAACAGAATTCGGGGTGGGAGCCTTCTTTCCATTTAACTGAGGTAAGTAACCATGTTGTACTGTATGAGTTAAGTCCTGTAACTCAGCTGTTGTAGGAGCTCCCCAAACACACTTTATACCAGCTTCCAAAGCTAAATGACCATTTATCTGACTTACTCATCTGAGTAACCTCCCTGTAATATGCTTTACAGCCTATAAGACAATTCACCCGCATGGCCTTTTTTAAAAATCATAAAATGATACATCCTCTAAAGTCCTTTCCACTTCTAGCTTTGAGTGGTTTTCTGCCCTAACCTGAGAGCTTGAAAAGCAGAAACCTGAACTTTTAAAATTCATCAATTTTTACTGCTTCAGAAGTTACCATGTAGAGCAACTTCACAGCTTCCTGGATTGGCGTGCCTTCAAATTACAGTCATGTTAAGCTTGGCACATAAAGTTCAAATAACAACCTGCTGGTTCAGCACTCAGTGGCCACACAGTTTGACGGAGATGTGATAAAGGGGTCTTCCCCACCCCCCATAACTGGCTAGCCCATCTAGCATCAATTGGCAAAGTTAAAAAATATACATATAAAGGGGAGGAGGGGTGGGAGACCCCAAATAAGACAAGCCTGAGCATCTGGATGGACAATGCAGGAGAGAGATGCTGCATAAAAATGTGTCACCAAGTTAACTTCAATGCCAGGCTGGCAGAAACTTCACAGATGCCCGCCTCAGTCCTTCCATTTGGCCCAGGTTTAAGTCAGAGTCACCTTCACCAGGATAAGACTCTCTTACTCTGCCTCCAAAGGCCATATACAACTGCCCACTGACTGAGAAAGGAGCACCTTAGGTAAGGGTTCATCCGCCCATCTTCCTCTGATCAGTGTCTCTTTTCAGTGCTAACAAGAACAGGAAGAGCCAGGCACACTAGCTACAGCAGGCTAGGAAAGGATCATTTCATCCAGAAGTTTGAGACCAATCTAGACATCAGGACAGCATCAGGGCAGTTCCCCATCTCCACAGAAACAAACAAATGTAAAAACAGGTTGGGCATGTAGTGTATATGTTTTATATAAAACAAAACAACAACAAATGCCCTGCCAATGAAAGAACCAAATGCTCACCTAGGCAGATCAAGAGAACCTCCCTCTGAGCCAGGATTCAAACCCAGGCAACCTAGCCTGTGACTCTACTAATATGCCAGAGCATTTCGCTAAAACTGGCTAAATTCGGTACATGTTTCTCTCCCTGTCCCTGTCCCTGTCCCTCTCCCTCTCCCTTCCATTCTCTTTCATTACCTGCATTACCTGTCTAATGTCTCTATCTATCTCTGTCTGTGTCTGTCTCTGTCCCTCTCTATCTCTATGCGAGTGTGTGTGTGTGTGTGTGTGTGTGTATCTAGAAAATAAAAGTACGCCCTTATTGATGTGACTGAATTGCCCATTCAGTTACTGAGAAGGACACGTTCACAGGAGGACAGAATATGACATCTGACTCCACACCCTTTGAGACACATAGCCCTCAATGCTTCTGTGAGAATAGAAGCTTCTGATCATGATTAGTGAGGGCCTTCACCTACACAGAAAACCATGTGACTCAATCATCTCAGCTTGGCTGGCCATTGCTGATGTGGGAAGAACACTGTAGCCAAACAAGACACGCAGAGACATAACCTGAGGCAACTCCGCCACCAACAGTAGCGTGGAGAGAACAGTAGGAAGCGTCACAAACTGGAGCCCAGCTCTTAAGAGAGTCCTTGAGACAGTGGTGCGGAGCCAAGGAGCAGAATCACAAACAGCTGGAGTGGGAACGTCAGCCCCTGGCTGCTGGGCTGTTGAGGAGGGCTGTGAGGGAAAGGATCACACAGCTGCATTCCTTAGTCATTTGCATGTCCAGAAAGCAGTGGGAAGTCCAAGATGTGGGAGAAAGAACACTGTCTAGGGCTCAGGGAACTTTGGTTCCCATTCTGCTGGCTACATGCGCCCTTCTCCTCCATAGGGCCCTCATTCTGTGTGAGCACTTTAAGCTGGAAGTGGTGTGCTGGGGTTGAAACCTGAAGGGTGGATAAATAGCCAAGAAACATTGGCAGTTATCAGTGGGTGAGGAAATATGTATGCAGATTACAGCAGTAACAATATTACCAAATAGCAATTAAAGGTCCAACTGCCCTCCTTCCGAGTCTTCCCAATAGATATGATGGAATTACTTACCCCACCCATCCTGAAATGTTTACTATATGTTAAAGATTATCTGAGTCCTGAATTCTTCTTAAAGTTTTACTTTTATGTGTGTGTGTGTGAGAGAGAGAGAGAGAGAGAGAGAGGGAGACAGAGAGAGAGAGAGAGAGAGAGAGAGAGAGAGAGAGAGAGAGAGAGAGAGAGAGACAGAGACAGAGAGAGAGAGAGAGAGACACTCTGAGTGTGTTAGTTGTCAGGTACACATGTGGAGACCACAGGGCAGCTTTTGGGGAGTCAGTTCTTCCCATTATTGTTATTTTAAAAGATTTCTTTTCTTTTCTTTTCTTTTCGAGACGGGGTTTCTCTGTGTAGTCCTGACTGTCTTGGAACTCACTCTGTAGACCAGGCTGGCCTCAAAAAAGATTTATTTATTTATTTATTTAATGTATATGGGTACACCATTGCTGTCTTCAGACACACCAGAAGAGGGCATCGGATCCTGTTATAGATGGTTGTGAGCCGCCATGTGATTTGCTGGGAGTTGAACTCAGGACCTCAGGAAAGGAGCAGTCAGTGCTCTTAACCACTGAACCATCTCTCCAGCCCTCTTCCCATTATTATTATTGTTGTTGTTTTGTTATATTGCTATTACTTCATTATTATTATTAATTACTATTATTATTTTGAGGCAAAGTCTCTCGTGAGGTCTCTGTCTCTGTGCTGATAGGCCAGCTTCAGGGTGAACCCCCTGTTTCCATCACAGGAATGCTGGGTTCACAGATATGTGCCACCCAAGTCCAGCTTTTTATGTGAGTTCTAGAGCTGAAACTCAGCTCAAGCACTTCTACCCACTGACCCATGTTCACTACCCCTGAATATTTTTTTATTTTGATAGAGGGCCTGACTTAGAAGTGCAAATCAGGACAGCTATGGTAGTATTTTATTTTATTTTATTTTATTTTATTTTATTTTATTTTATTTAGTTTTGATGCTGCAGATTGAACCCCAAGGCTTAACTCATGCCAACTGTCTATAGTTCCAGCTCCTACAGTGTCACTTTACATAAGTTCATAGCACCAGAAAAAAATTTGAATTAGTGTAAAGTTTAGTATTGGGAAGGATTTGAAGAACTCAACTCCTACAGCACCAAAGACATTTTGGGACAATCCCCTTCCTTAAAGAAAACCTGAATAAGAGATAAGAGCCCTAAAAATGGCCATGCCCTTGATATAGTGGTAGTTAGTTACTAGAAATTTAGAGTAAACAATTTAAATATATTTTGTAAGTTATTTATGGCAATGTTATTTATAAGAGCTCAAACTGGAAAGATGCCAGGTAAAGCCCCTAAGCAAAAACAAACAAAGAACATTTTGACAGCCTCAGGGAGAAAGTATTCAATGGCAAATATATATTGTGCATGAGTCTACATTTTAATA